GGCCAGGTTGGACACAGGGGCTTGGAGCAACCTGCTCTAGTGGAAGGTGTCCCTGCCGGGGGCAGGGGTTGGAGCTGGAGGAGCTTTAAGGTCCTTCCAACACAAACCAGTCTGTGTGTTTCTGTGATTTCAAATGCAATAAGGATCTACCTGTATTTTGGGTAGATCTCTCCCATCCTGCCCTCTCATACTAGCAGAGGAGCGTGCAGTTATCTAATGAAATTATTTTATCAGTGCATGTTTGTTATACAAGTAACATATTACATGTGATAATATGGCTCATGATTCATGGTAAATGATACATGGTTAATGGTATTTATATCTAGAATACAGCATTTCTAGCCTGAAGAAGATAACGAATAGAGTAACAGTAAATACAAAGATTAGAGCTCAAGTGTGAGTGCCTAGGAAGCACGAAAGCCAGTGCATTAGCTGTGCAAGTGGAGCTCTCAGAAATGCCGTGTTAGTGGTTTGTGTGTAACTCAGCATCACTCATGCTGAGTTCTCTTCTGTTTTAGCCATGAGAGTCCACTGTTTGACTTCATTGAGAGCTGCCTGAGGAACAAGCATGAAATGGTTATTTATGAAGCTGCCTCTGCAATCATCCATCTCCCAAACTGCACGGCCAGGGAGCTGGCACCCGCTGTTTCAGGTTGGTCATGGAGTCCTTGGGCCCACTCATGCAGCTGAAAGAAAGGGTGATCAAGCGTATCAGAGACAGCACAACATAAAGACTGGACCCAAATCCTGAATTTCCTGATTTTTTTCCTAGAGGGCTTTTGGATGAGAAGCACATTGATCCCTTTTCCTCATTTCATCCAGAGCTTTCAGGAATGGGCAGTAGAGGTGTCACTTGCCTTTTCCCAGCTGCAGGAAGCTGGGATGGAAGGGAAGGTAGAGGGGAACTTGATAGCACAGATGTGCCAGAGGTGACCGTAGGTGCAGCCTCCTATTAGTGATGTCAGATGAAAAACAGGAGGTTATTTTGAGCTTGCTTGGGAAGCCAGTGATAAATTATGGGTAGAGCCACGTGAATGTTTATCAGTGTGTAGTTGAATGTGGAGTCATTGGACTTTCCTCCCCTGTCTGGTTTTCTGCTGCAGTGAATTCTGACTGAACTATTTGCACTCTCAGTGTCAAAGTGCTGGCACAAGGCAATTTCTCTTTCCTCATCTGGTTGTGAAGGCTCTCACCTTCTGTTCCCCACACATTCCAGGTGCCTCAAGTTGCATTACTGGGAGCTGGCTTTTGTTGAACAGTCTCTGCTCTGTAACATCTTATTGTGAGTGACTTCTCTTCATTATTTTTCTCTTTTTCAGTGCTGCAACTCTTCTGTAGCTCTCCCAAACCTGTCTTGAGATACGCAGCCGTGCGGACCCTGAATAAAGTGAGTGCTGCCAGTGTTCTAAACGGGCAGAAACCTCTGAGCATCAGAGGAAGCCAGACCTCAGTTCCTAATGGTGTGTTACCTAAAGTAGGGTGTCTGCTTTTGTGATTACTGTACTTGGAAATACTCCATGCTGGAGAATGGGCTTTTCCCTGCCAAATCTCCTGGTGTGATGGAAATCTCTGCAGTCAAGCTATGTTTGTTCATTTATGGACCACAGACTTATAACAAGCTGTAGGTTGATAACTTGTGAGCTCACAGCTGTAAGGAAGCAGAGGCTCAGATATTTAATACTATTTAATGTCTAATACTATTTAATTTAAATGCCAAAAGTTTGACTGAGATGTGTGTGAAGGAAATAACGTTCTAATGTCAAAGCTGCACGCAACAGGTGGAAAGGCTTTAAACTGAGAGAGAGAAGGTTTAGATTAGGTATTGGGAAGAAGTTCTTCCCTATGAGGGTGCTGAGGCGCTGGCCCAGGGTGCCCAGAGAAGCTGTGGCTGCCCCATCCCTGGCAGTGTTCAAGTCCAGGTTGGACACAGAAGCTTGGAGCGACCTGCTCTAGTGGAAGGGGTCCCTGCCCAGGGCAGGGGTTGGAGCTGGAGGAGCTTTAAGCTCCCTTCAACCCAAACCATCCTATGATTCTGATCCTAAGTTATCATTCCCATCTAATTTGGAATTGCATTCCTTACAGGTGGCCATGAAGCATCCATCTGCAGTCACTGCCTGCAACCTGGACCTGGAAAACCTCATCACTGACTCCAACCGCAGCATCGCTACTCTCGCCATCACCACGCTGCTGAAGACAGGCAGTGAGAGCAGTGTAGACAGGCTCATGAAACAGATCTCTTCCTTCGTGTCAGAGATATCAGATGAGTTTAAGGTGTGGCATTGGAGGCCTCTGCTCTTTCCAGCTGCAGGTTTTTCTCCCATTCTTGTTACTATGAAGCTTTTCCCATTTGTTAATCCTTCAGTGGCTTAGTTTGATAGAGCAAAGCCAGCTTGAAATTCCTAAGGTGCAGTGCTCTGCTTTCCATCTGAAATACGCTGTGTCATTTCCTCCCACCACTCCAAGGAAGGATAAATGTAGTTTGGTGGACTCCTGGCTCCTGTGCAGTATCATTGGACTGCCTTCTGGTTGTCCCTTTGGAGAGGAAGAGGGATTTTAACTGCTCTGATTGAGTCTATATCACTTTAAGTGTGATAGTTAGGAAATACTGTGAACTCTTAAGTTTCTATAGTGACTAAACTTAGCGAAGAGTTTGATTAAGGATGGTAGTTCACTTGTACTCGTCCCTCTTACACCATGGAGTTGCCTTGAGGAGCATGTCTCTACTAATAGGAAGCATACAGTAGAGGATAATGTGTCTGTACAAAGTCAGTTTCCACTAGTGCCCAGTGGCCTTAAGCTCTTGTTTTTATGAGAAAAGGAAATGGGTATTAGAGAAACTTAAAATTGCAAAGAGTTTTAATGACGAAATGTAACTACTTCAGGTAGAATCAGGTCAGAGGGAGGAAGTGAGGAGAAGCTTTGAATGAATGGAGTCTGTCCTAAATTACAGTCCTCTAAAAGAGACAGGTCTTGCACCACACCAGCACAGGGGTGTTCACACTCATGCCGAGACTCCAGCACCTGATTTTTATCCTTCTTGTACATGAATTTCATCTATCAGGGTGACAACTTGAGCTAGTGAGACGTGTGTATTCTTCATAGACTAATAAATGCACATGACTAATGTCCTCCTCTGTTGTTTTGCAGGTGGTGGTGGTACAGGCTATCAGTGCTCTGTGCCAGAAATACCCTCGGAAGCACAGTGTCATGATGACCTTCCTCTCCAATATGCTCAGGGATGATGTATGTGGATGCTGTACAAACTTCCCTTGTGTAGTTGTTAGGAGGTAGCTCTGATACTCTCTCAGGTGGAAGGAATAAGTAATCTGCAAGTATGAAGGGTCATTCATGTCTTATGTCAGTACATAGCAATGATGGGGCCTGAGTGATTTCCAAGGCCTTGCTCATCTCATGGGTCTGGCCTGCCTGAAATATGCTTATGAACTAGAGCTGGGGTCAGACCTGTCTGTACATCAACAACTGATTGGAATTGATGCTCAGATGTGCCTTTGTGGGCATGGGGGGACTAGGAAGATCCTTTTAGGTCACCCAGCACTCCTCCTCTGCTCTCTTGATGTACAATACTTGTTTACTTAATGGCAAGAAGTAGTTGAAGCGTGAGGGGAACTGAGCAGTGCTGTGGTCTGAGCTCTGCCTGCTGGGTCAGTGTCCTTGATTTTCCTTTCCCAGGGTGGCTTTGAGTACAAGCGAGCCATTGTGGACTGTATAATCAGCATCATTGAGGAGAATCCTGAGAGTAAGGAGGCAGGCTTGGCTCACCTCTGCGAGTTCATCGAGGACTGTGAACACACTGTCCTGGCCACAAAGATCCTGCATCTCCTGGGCAAAGAGGGGCCAAGGACTCCATCCCCTTCCAAGTACATCCGCTTCATATTCAACAGGGTGGTGCTGGAGAATGAGGCTGTGAGAGCTGGTGAGTTCAGCTCAAATGTGTGATGGTTTCATGTCTCAGCTCTGCTGGAAATCTTGGGGCTGAAACGGGGTTTGGTGGGTGGGAGGCAATGGTTACTCCACAGGCATTGTGGAGAGCAAGCGCTTCTGTGCCTCAGCTCTGAAGGTGGTTTTTATCCTGGAGTGTGCTTAAACTTCTCAAGTAGCATCCTAGAATGGTTTGGGTTGGAAAGGAACTTAAGGTTCATCTAGTCCAGTCCAAACCCTCTTTCAGTTAAAAAATGAGAGTTCTCTTGGAACACACTTGCAGTGTTGGTAAGATGAGAGAGCTGGGGCTGTTCAGCCTGGAGAAGAGAAGGCTCCTGAAGGGGACACCTTAGAGCAGCTTCAGTGCTTAAAGGGGCTCCAGGAAACCTGGAGAGGGGCTTTGGACAAGGGCCTGTAGGGACAGGATGAGGGGAATGGCTTGAACCTGCCAGAGGGGAGATTGAGATGAGCTCTTGGGCAGAAGCTCTTCCCTGTGAGGGTGCTGAGGCACTGGCATAGGGTGCCCAGAGAAGCTGTGGCTGCCCCATCCCTGGCAGTGTTCACGGCCACGTTGGACACAGGGGCCTGGAGCAACCTGCTCTAGTGGAAGGGGTTGAGTGGAAGGTGTCCCTGCCCGGGGCAGGGGTTGGAACTGGAGGAGCTTTAAGGTCCTATCCAACACAAACCATTCTAGGATTGCATGATTCCCTGATACATGACTACTTCCATTTGAAAATATGGACATGGTTTAGTCTTTCCATAACACAAAAAGGTTTCTGGTGTGGAAGTGAAAACCTGGAATTGGAATTTCAGGACAACAGTGTGCATAGTGCTTTGAATCAGGACTGGGAAGCTGTGTCTGTGTGTAGCTCTGACATCGCCCTGTTTTCCTCTCAGCTGCTGTCAGTGCACTGGCAAAGTTTGGTGCCCAGAACGAGAATCTGCTTCCCAGCATCTTGGTGCTTTTGCAGAGGTGAGTGGACGTGGTTGTGCTTGTGCTGAGCTTCTTGGTGACACTTGTCTGGCCCACAGAAGAAGCAAGGTCAGGTCTGGTCAGAACTTGCACTGGGGTTGCTACAACATACCAGTTGAGGAGCTGGGAGATGGTTGTCTTCAGCCTTCCTGGCTGGAGGGAGCAAAGCACTGCTGGAGATGAGCAAGTGAAAATGTGATTAGTCATTAAAACACCTGATAGTAAACTGCTCTGGGAACATTCTTCAGCAGGTAATAAAGCTGCTTTCCTACATGTGTACATTACTTTGCATCCCTTAAAGCAAGACAATACATTTCCATGTTACTCATGGATAACATTTGTGTATGGCTGAGTAGTGATGCCAGGGGTGTCTGTGTCACGGCCTCCTGCACCTTGCACTTGGCTTTGTTGAACTTCATGAGGTTTGCAGGTGTGTTTTATCATCTAGCAGGTGTGCATGGAGATAACAACTCACAGATCTCCTTTAATCTCAGTTTTCTGATGTGGCACTTGAAGTTTAAATGCAACTATTGTGTTGTATGATCACTTTTATGCCTAATTTGAGTATCTGTTGAGTTTGCTCAGAACATCGTTGCAGTGTCAAGTACGATTTTGATGCCTCCTCAGCTCTCCTGATGTCCTGAGCTGCTGACTGCTGTCCTCTTGTCCTCCAACACAGGTGCATGATGGACAGTGACGATGAAGTTCGGGACAGAGCAACGTTCTACTTGAATGTCCTACAGCAGAGGCAGATAGCACTGAACGCTGCCTATATCTTTAATGGTCAGTGATGGAAAGGGTTATTTTATGAGCTGTTAGTTAACTTCATAATGGGGAGGGATTTGCTGTAGTAGTTTTCTCTAATGTAACTTGGGTCAGAATAACTACAAAGGGCAGAACTCTGTGTGTTTTCTGGCCCAAGCACTGTCCTTGTGCTGAGAATGGCAGATTTGGAAGGACTGTGTAGGAAATGGAGGAACAGTGTGGCCTGGGCTTTTTTCATCATTGCCTCTTCCTTCACTTGGGACAAGTTTCTTAACCTTTGCTTCCTCGCCTCCATTCCAAAGTGAGGATGCCACTTCTTGTTGCCAGGGTTGGTTATGAAACTGGCTTATGGTCTGTAGTTGAGTTCATGGGAGCAGAGTGCTCACCATAGGTAAGACAATTGCAAGATGACTTTTCTGGAGGGAACTGTTCAGACTGCAGTTCCCTCTGGAATTGCAACTTCCTGTGTCAGCTGCAGAGCAGTGTTTTTATTGTGTCTAGTTTTGTGAAGCACTTTGTGTTTGTGTTTACTGAGACATGAACACGCTTTTACCAGCGCTTTGTTAGCCAAAGTCCAAATGTTTCTAGCTGAAAACTCTGGATTCTTCATAACAGCTTTTATTGTGCTGCCTGAACCAATGGACATGCTTCAGAGAAGAGCTCTTTAAATAATCTTCCTTGCTTATATCTCAAGGAGGAGGTGACTGAGACCAATAAGCTTCTCAGACTCAGGCATCTTACTGCTTTTGGTGCAGTGGGCCATCCCAAATTCACACTCTTCACTTGTAAACCCTATTGCCATGGGCCTCTGACAGTTCCTGCTCTTAAAACTGACTTTTCCTGCCTGTGCTTCCTTGCAGGATTGACTGTTTCTGTTCCTGGGATGGAGAAAGCCCTGCACCAATATACACTGGAGCCTTCTGAGAAACCTTTTGATATGAAAACAGTTCCACTGGCTACTGCACCAATCTTTGAGCAGAAAGCAGGTAACACTCAGGCTAACCAAGGCCAGGTTGGACACAGGGGCTTGGAGCAACCCGCTCTAGTGGAAGGTGTCCCTGCCCAGGGCAGGGGTTGGAGCTGGAGGAGCTGTAAGGTCCCTTCCAACACAAACCAGGCTGGGATTTGATGTTTAAATAGGCCATAGACAAGGCTATAAGCATTCATGTTGCCATAATGATACTTGACGTCTGTAAACTGGCTGCCATCCCAGCAAGCTCGGGCCAAGACCTGTGGGGGCTCAGCTAAGCAGGTTACAGCATTACTGGCTTTGCAGAAGCCTCCCTGATCCTCACAGATAAAGGAAGAGAGTTCTTCTTCCAGAGAAATGTGGGTTGGTGGGAATGTGGTTGGTTGTTCTGTTTTGTTATTAGGACTTTTACATAAATCAGAATTGGTTCAGACATTCCAGAAGTGCTCAGTCACTTCACTGGCTTTCTTCAGTGTTCTTGCCCAATTCTTCCATTTTGACTTTGTGCAGCTTTAAGAAGAGTTTGAGGGGGGTTACCTCCTTCTTCTCCTTCCAGCTTTTTTTCTAACTATTCTGCACTGAAGTGTCCTTTTTTTGTAGAATCCCAGGCTGGTTTGGGTTGGAAAGGACCTTAAGATCATCTAGTTCCAACCTGTTGCCATGAGCAGGGACAGCTCACACTAGACCAAGGCTCTGTCCAACCTGGCCTTGAACACTGCCAGGGATGGAGTATTCACCACTTCTCTGGGCACCCTGTGCCAGCGCCTCAGCACCCTCACAGGGAAGAGCTTCTTCCCTATATCCAACCTAAATCTCCCTTTTTTCACTTTGAACCCACCACCCCTTGTCCTGTCACTCCAGTCCCTGGTGAACGTCCTTCCCCAGCATCCTTGTAGCCCCCTTCAGATACTGGAAGCTGCTCTGAGGTCTCCAGCAGCTTCTCTTCTCCAGGCTCAACAGCCCCAATGTTCTCAGCCTGGCTCCGTACGGGAGCTGCTTTAGGCCCCGCCCATCCCTCTGGTCCTCTGGACTTGCTCCAGCAGCTCTGTGTCCTTCTGATGTTGGGGAGCCCAGAACCGCACCCAGTGCTGCAAGTGGGGTCTCACAAGACCCAACACCTCTTCTCTCCTTACAACCCACTATTGCTTCATGGTATCTGTGTGTGTGTGAGGAATCAAACTGGCAGTGGTTCACAGCAGAACGTGTGCAACACTGCAGGTTAAGGAGTTTTTAGTGGGGATGTAGCGGCATCTAAGACTCCTGCATGATGGAGCTGACAGCACAATGTCTTTGTTTCCTCTTCCCAGAGATTGCCCTCGTCACCAGCAAGCCTGAGAAAGTTGCTCCTTCACGGCAGGATATATTCCAAGGTATGAGAGAAGATCAGTGAGTCTCCAGTGCTCGAAGCACTGGGGGGATTGCCACAGGTCAGGAGGGAACAATGAACAAGCCTGACACTAAGTGTCTGTCACCTTCTCTTTCCTTCCTGCCCAGAACAACTGGCAGCTATTCCAGAGTTCAAGAGCTTGGGCCCGTTGTTCAAGTCTTCGGACCCAGTGCAGCTCACAGAAGCAGAAACAGAGTATTTTGTTCGTTGTATTAAACACGTGTTCACAAATCACATTGTTTTCCAGGTAAGAGAAGTTACATGCTTTTGCCAGGGTGCAGTAGGACTTGGCCTTTAATCATAGAACCCCAGACTGGTTTGGGTTG